TGAAGGGAGGCTATCTTTGTCCATCAAAGTACTATTGATTCTCCTATTTTTCTCCTATTTTTTAGACAACGTTTCCTATTTTTTCTTATTTTTTCAATCCTGAAATTCCTATTTTCCTATTTTTTGAGCTCCTTTGTCACTGGACACCCTGTATTTCTCTCTAACAATGTTTTCACTTAATTCTGTGAGCTGACTAGGATCCACGGGCATTGTTGCAGGAAATCGGAACTCCCTTATTGAAGAATATCATAAAGAGTGGCAAGTGATTCTGAGCTGTCGCTATCAGTGACAATTCAAGCTTATCATTTTAGTCTACTTTTTTGTAGGAGTTGGAATTACCTTTTGGTCAACGGTTTGAATTCAGTCGTCTGTGGTTTCAAAAATACCATGAAAATGGAGGTAAGAAGTACATTTTGTGTCACCATTCAAAATGACTGTGGAAAACAGTACTTCAAGGTAGTGTTTAGAAATGGTGTTTAGAGACATTATTTAGAAAAAGTACGCTTTTACTTTCGTCGTAAGCATGACAAAGTGAAAAGACAAGCTTCAAGTACACACTTTCAAAAATACAACTTCGAGTTTTTTTTTTTGTGCACCACAGCAACAACAGCGATTCAAGCAAAGAGAGAGTCTTGTAGCAAGAATAAAAATACAAAAGCGGAAGCTAAAGTTTGTTTTGATGACTCAAATGTTGGCGAGATTGAGCCGCTGATACCTCAAGATGAAAAGGAACTTCCGGTTGACGGTAGCTCGCCAATTTTAAAAGAAAAAAAAGAGCGGGAGAAAGTGATAGATGAGTACATGTTGGAGATTGCAAGCTCAGAGGAAGGTAAATTTCCGGACTTTAGGGACAAGCAATCAAGTCGTTCAGGTTGGAAGGCCATAAGACCGTTCTGTTTTGTTTCAACAACCGTTGTTTACCTTTCTTTGTTCTTTGTACCGACTATTGCCGCACCAAAAAACTGACGTTTGGAGAAATTATATATTAAGTGGATTGTCTTTGTCTAGACTCGTATTTTTTTCAGGAACACTAACGTAATATCCACCGTCGGTAATTATTTACTAGCTCCCAGTAAATTTCTTAGCTTTTACAAGAGCAAATGACCGGACGGCATGAGAACAGTAACAACAACAATAACAATAAAAGTATTCAAATAGTGTCAAATCCACTAATTGTCCATGGCGCCTTACATTAAACCCTTTGAACAAGAATGCCTAAGTATAATTCGCCCAAATCTCAGACGCAAAAAAACACTCCCGATAATTTCTTTCCTGAATACAAAGTAATAGGTTTAACTCCTAAAGAACGATCCATTGTTATCCTTTGTAGCTGATGATAATCACGAAAATGGAGCTTCTTCAGTTGTAAATGACATAGACCCTCTTGTTGTGGCCGACAACAATGAAAATGATGAAAACAGAACTGTTGGCGATGGGCAAGAAGAAAACCTGATTGAAAAGGACTCAGATACCAGACGTGGAGAAGATGAACGCAAACCATCCCAAGAAGAATCCTGTTCACAAAGCAAATGGAAAAATAAGGAGAAGAAAGCTTCTAAGGGGACAGGAAGTGCTCAAAACGACACTGAGCGGAAGGAAACCGAAAACAAAGAACGAAGCTCATCAGCAGGTACAATGTACTTGACTGTTTTATTAGTAGAAATAACCTCTTTCACAGTAAGAGTTTCAAGTATATCCGTTCCTGGTCAAGTCGACATACAGTGGTGTTGTTCACAGTGATTGGCCGGGCGTATTATATTCTGCACTATTTTTCGAGTCTCTTTGCTAGTTTATCCTTCATCCTCTTCACTCGTGCCATAAATTGTACGAAATCCGTTTGAGCCCTTAGGAATGTATTCTAAATTATAATTCATGAGGGCTATGAAGTCAAATTCGAATGCGATTTATATTTCACAGGCCAAGCTTCAATGCCACTTAAACTCCCAACAGCAAATGAGGCTACATCGGCTGAAAACAACGTTGTTAAACTTGAAAAACACGAGGAAAACCCTGTAACCGAGGACATAATTATGAAAAGAAGCCATTCTCCAGGTGAATATAACAATAACAATAACAATATCAACAACAACAACAATAACAATAACAATAACAATAACAGTGACAGTGACAATGACAGTGACAGTGACAATAACAATGACTTTATTATCGTGTCAATGACATCTAGCAGTGGAGAATCCCCACTGCTAATAGGGGACACCTAACTAGAACTATCTAAAAATAATATACAGAAAAGTCCTATAAGAGAAATTAAAATTATGAGTTACAAAGATGGCAGCCACTACATCCATCTAGGATGTTGCCTAGATCTAGCCTCCGTACGTGGGTCTTAAACTGCTTGAGATTTTGCTGTTAATTTACTCAAGGAATGTATTATCTCGCCCCAACGTCAAAAACTGTTAACACCAAAGATCTCTTATGATTGCTGCTACTTCGGAATGCCACGTAATATATAAAACACGAGGGACTCTCTTTCGCCACATTTCCAAACACCGAGAAGAAAGTTAAAAATATGACGCGCCACGGAGTGCTCATTTTTGACGAACAAGTACAACAAGTCGTTGAACAATCTTGGGAATTTGTGGTAATCTCGATATGCTTGTTTTTTGTAGTTGATTATGGCCGAAGCGCAAGAAAAAGCACGTCCACCGATGTTGTGGCTGACAGGAACCTTGTTGCAATGGCCGACAACAATGACAATTGCGAAGACAGACCAACAGTTTGCGATGAGCTCAAAGAAATATCCCCAAGCGGCATGGACGTGGATAACAAACCTTTCGACGGGGAATTCACTGGATTAATGAGCTTACCAAGCAAAGTAAGGAAAAAGAGGAAAAAGAAGAAGGCTTCCAAGCTTAAGGGGACAGGGAGTCCTCTAAACAACATCAAGGGCGAGGAAGTAAAGAAAGAAGAACATATCTCTTCCGAAGGTATTTTATCAACTATATAAGCTCATAGAGTACGCAGTCTTTTGGTTAAACAACTGAGAATTACACATATTCACAGATATTTCAAGCTTTTTAAAAGTTTAAACGCTTGATCGGCGAATTACTGCGACATTTTTTGCTTCAGGTCAGGTTTCAATGGAACTTAATCCCCCAGCAGTTGCAAATGAGGCCGCATCGGTTGAAAGCGACGTTGTTACACTTGCGGAACATGAAGAAACTCCTGTGACTGAGGACATAACTATGACAGGAAGCAACTTTTCAGGTTAATATCCTTTTAGTTGTCTAAATAATAGTTCAAGAAATGTATTGAAACCCTCCAGTGTCAATTCAAGTGAACGTTAACATTTGCTTGACTATTACAGGATATCGATACGTACTTTCTGACTCCTACTGTACTCCGTCCGTTTTCCAAAAGTCTAGGTTTGATATATACGGTCAATTGATTGAAGTTTTATCTTTCTTGTTTGCTTTGACGTTCTTGGTTAAATTTACTGATGGGCCATGCTGGGAATTTTGTGGTAGCGTTATTTCGATATGCTTGTTCCTGTAGTTGATGATGATCGTAGCGCACGAGAAACCACGTCCACCGATGTCGACGGCCGAGGAATCAGCGTTAACGAAAAAGGAGCTTCTACAGTTGTAAATAACAAGGACCTTCTTACTATGGCCGATAACAATGACGATTTCGAAGACAGATCAACTGTTGGTGATGGACAGAATGACAGACTTGGTGAAGATGAAAGCAAACCTTCCAATGCGGAATCTAGTTCACAAAACAAAGAGAAAGAGAAGAAAAAGGAGAAGGCTTCCAGGGTGACAGGAGGTGTTCAAAACAACACCAACAGCGACGAAGTGCAAAAAGAAAAAAACTCTTCCGAAGGTATTTCTTCAAATTAATGGCTCTTTTATTACAAAAAAGAGTAATACATTACCCGTTTAAGTTAACAGTGTTTCGGTCAGGACTGTTGGGCTATTTTTTTTTTCTTGCAGTAAATAATTGAATACAAGGGATTTAAAAATAAAATGACCTTGAAATGGCCAATTAACGATTGACATTATAACGTTGAGTCAACTGCCACCATCATGACGGATCGTGCTCTTCAGGAACACGATTTTTTCATTAAAAGTCTGAACATAAAAAGTGTCATTTCACTGAATTGATGACATGACATTACTATTACTAATAGGAAATTAAGGAAACACAAATTTGAATTCGCGTTTTTTCGATTTCACAGGTCAAGTAACATCAGTAATCCTTGATCTCCCAAAAGCTGACGAAGTTACATCGGGTGAAGGCGACATTGTTGAAGCTGTACTAAGTCCAGTAAAACACAACGTCACAACGGAAAACAATGCCAGAGATCTTACCACAAGTAACTGCTCTTCCATTTCGCGCGTCCCTAAGACAGCTACGGGAAAAGACAAAGAAATGTGTTCCAGTGGAAAGGATCAACAAGTAGTATCTTCTGATACATATATCTCCAAAGGTTCTTCGCTCAAAAACGTGGCATCGTCAAGTTTAGATTCTGGAAACTGTGATAGATTAGACATGTACGAGGAGCAGACTCATAAATCAGAGGACAAACACCTCACAACTGGAGCAAAAGACCAGGAAAACGAATCCACTAAAATTGTTAGATGTAAGTAACCGTTTGAAAGCAGTCGTGTCATTACTTTCATTGTCTCAGTAGAGTCGTTCGGTGCCCTAACAGGTATAAACAACGAGTTCCATGAAACTGTATGTGAAGCGGGAGGGGGAGGGGTGAGGTGGGGGTACATGTAAGGTGGAGCCTAAGCGGCCAAGCCTGAAACGTCATTTCCAGAGGACTTGAATAATACTTCCGGCAAAGATACAGGGTTGGTTTGAGCTGTGGTTAGCTGGACGATTTTTCGTTGTTTGGATTTGAGATTACCCATCACCCAACTTTTATTTAAACCCACGAGAAAGTTAGGTCTGAAATGTTATATGTTCAAAAGATTACCACTGTCAGAAGAAGTACTTTGAATTTTATTGTTAAACACAATTTCTGGCAGGTAAGCCAAGGCTTCGCGGACTCGTTGGAAGAGACATTTTCTATGAGAAAGGTTCTGTTTTGGACGCTGAAGAAAACAGAGAATTGGAATTCAAATCACTCGTGAGTGCCCAGCCTTGTTTTCTTCCATGGAAGATTATGGAAAAGGCAAAAAAGTTCATCTGCGCTTGCTTAAATAATGACCGAAAAGGCATAATCTACTTCGGAGTTGGAG